CTCTGTCCCGTGTCAGTGCCTTTATTATCTTCTGGTTCCAGGATACTCTTTTCTTTATCTCTCCTTTCAGAACTGCACAGATTAACTAGATTACAAAGAACACAATTAGTAGGATTATCAGACTCTCAAGAATAGATTTGATCCATGAGCTCACATTCCATCCTAACCCTTCAAAACTTTTATCTACCCAACTTGTGGTCAGATCTTCCCTCTCTTTCTGTGCTTCATGTTCTATTTGTTTTAACGGATTAATGTTGTGTTCTACATCTGCAGTTCCATTTGGGATGTGGATGCAGCAGTGATCAATTTGTCCTTTTATGTACCCCCATACTCCGTGTTCTTTCAACAATAACATATCTAAAGCCAATCTGTTTTGCTGGGTCATTTTAGTCGTGGCTTGTAATTGTACATTTAGCTCTCTAAATCCCTCTGGTAACTCTTGCCAATCTTTCTACCTGACCTGTAAGTTTGTACATCTTTCTGTTATTGTAATTTTTTATTGGACTAAACAAGGATTCCAGAGCTCACTCAAATTTTATACTACTGGAGGGTTCTTGCCATCTTTCTTCATCTTCAATTTTGTTTTCCTGAACTTCTTGTCTCGTCCTTACTTGCAGAAGTTCATGTTCTCTTTTAAATGGGGACCTTTTCCAAATTGGGCATAAGGTGGGGAGGCCTAAAGTAGTCTCTTTTACTTTTCCACTTACAGGCAAATGTGTTGTCCAGGTGCCATCGCTTGCTGCCCACACAAATTGGCCTGGACTCTGAACTGTACTTCTGCTCCATACTACCTTTTGGATCACTTGTCCTATCTTGTCATTTTTTTCACCTTGTTTATGTTTGATTCCTCTGCAGGCACATCCAATTCGCAGAGCTACCACTGGCAGTGGCATTTGTTTTATTTCCTCATCATCAGAAGTACAGTCCTAAGTTTTGTTACATACCCACCAATTCACTTTGTCTGCTTCCATTCTACTACTGCTTGCAGTGTTCCGTACTTATGGATCTGTTTCATTTTCAGAGCCTTCCCACTTAATGCACCAAGGGCTATCTGACATGTATTGGAATTTCTGAAGCACACTCACTCACCATGCACTGTCCCAAGCTTCAGCCCGATCTTTTCTTTCCTTTCATACTTCCATTGTGACACTGGAATCTTTTCTTTAATAACCTTTACTATCTTTTCATAACACCATCCATAATTTCCTAATCCCCCATACCAGCCTAGTTTTGGTTCATCCTTTCCTCCATTTTCATGACAATCCCATATAGATGAATACTTTGGCTTCACAGCATTTTCAAACACTGTCTTATTTGGGTACTGGTAATCTATTTGCAATACACAGCTCACGTTTTCATTTTTATTCTTTTGTATTTCAGGTAATTTTGATGGTATAATTCCCCAACTTATTGGGTCTCCTGCTGCCTTTGGTATTGGCAGACAGACAGTTATTTTGCTGGTGTTTTGCATGTTGGCAAAATCTTTAATTAATCCAATCATCACATTTTCTGCCTAAATGGTATTAGAGACTTTTATCACTTGTGTTTCAGGCTGCACCCCCACATCCCTCTTCATTCTAAAATGAAGAGTTGTCAGCTGATCCTTTAGCATTTCACATCTCAAGGTAACATTGATTCCAACTGATGGCACTAAAGGCCATAAAATAATCACCATTACAGTCACTAGCAACCTAGACATTTGAAACAATCAAACCTGCTTTATCTGCAGCTTCCTTGGTCCTACAGTTTGCACAGTCCACAGTGCAAGGGAAACCTTCTTCACTCTGGTGTAAGTTATCCAGGGATCCAGTCCAGCTCCTTTGACTGCTGTAAAGGAAGTGCAAGGGAAACCCTTCACTCTGGTGTAAGTTATCCAGGGATCCAGTCCAGCTCCTTTGACTGCTGTAAAGGAAGTTAACAGTACCTGATAGGGTCCATTCCACCTTTCTTTTAATGGTTCTTCGTTCCAGCTTTTAACGTACACTTCATCTCCCGGGGGGATGTCATGAACTGGATTCTCAAGAGTCAGCGGCCTATTCCACACAAGGGTGCTCTGAAGTTGAGCTAGAGCTTTTCCAAGAGACAACATAATTCTACACCTCTTGCTTCCCTGTAACATGTACATTTGCATTAGGTTCAGGGGATTCCTATGGTTTCCCATACAATATCTCAAAAGGACTGACTGACATCCCGCTTCTAGGCTTTATCCGAATCCTCAGCAGTGCTATTGGTAGAGCTTGTGGCCACTGCAGTTTAGCCTCTTGGCATATTTTGCTGATTTGCTTCTTCAAGGTCTGATTCATCCTCTCTACCTGTCCACTGGATTGGGGTCTCCATGGTGTGTGGAGATCCCAAGCTATTCCCAGCAACTGACTCACCTCCCTCACTACTGTGGCTATGAAATGTGGGCCCCTATCTGATGATATTCCTAGAGGCACCCCAAATCCTGGAATGATTTCTTGCAGTACCCACTTGACTGTCTCCTTTGCTTGATTTGTGTGACAGGGAAGAGCTTCTGGCCATCCTGAAAATGTGTTCAACCCCTACCAATAGATATTTGTATCCTCGAGTTCTTGGTAATTCTACAAAATCTACTTGCCAATAATCTCCTGGTTCTGCTCCTACCCAAATTCTTCCTATTTGTGCCTGTTGTCTAGCCACTGGATTGTTTTTTAACCAAATTTCACATTTTGACATTACTGATTTTGCCATTGTTAACATCCGTACTGAAATTAAATTTGGTTTTAACAATTTCACCAATGCCTCTGCACCCCATGACGTTCGTTATGTTTAATTTGTAGAACTTCTCTCATTATCAAGGGAGGTACCGCTACTTATCCCTGTGTAGTCACATACCACCCTTCTGAATTCTTCTGTGCATTCAGTGAGTGTCCCAATTTCTCATCTTCTATTGAATATTTTGGTTCTGGAGGTAAATTGAATTGAGATACAGGAGTTTTTAAAGGTATCAATGCCATTGCAGTTTGCACTTCTCGAGCAACTTGTCGGGCTGTCCAGTCTGCTTTCCGATTTCCCTCATGAATTTTGGAGCTTCCTGATTGGTGAGCTTTGCAGTGCATGACTGCTACTTGCTCAGGCTTTTGTACTGCTTTTATTAATTGCAGGACTGCATCTTGATGTTTAATGTGCGTGTCTTTAGAAGACAGCAGTCCTCTTTCTTTCCACAGTGCCCCGTGTACATGCACCACTCCAAAAGCGTATTTTGAATCTCTCCATCTATTTACTTTCTTCCCTTCACTCAGCTCTAACGCCCTGGTCAAGGCAACCAGTTCTGCTCGTTGGGCAGATGTGTTTGCTGGCAAGGCCTTTGCCTCCACCACTGCACCTGTTGTTATTACCGCATATCCAGCATATCTGGTCCTGTTCTCCACAAAACTGCTTCCATCTGTAAACAGCTCCCAGTCTGCCTGTTCCAGTGGGACGTCTTTCAAATCTGCTCTAGCTGAGCAGGTGTGTTCTATCACTTCCACACAATCATGTTCCAATGGGCCTTCTTCAGTTGTGGTACATGGGAACAAAGCTGGATTCAAGAGGTTAGTTGTCTTTCGTGTGACATCATCCTGCTCAGTCAGGATTACCTGGAATTTCATCCTCCTGCTTGGATATAGCCAATGACGCCCCTTTTGTTCTGAAACAGTGGTCACCATGTGTGGCACGTAGACATCTATGTCTCTACCCATCATGAGTTTCCTAACCTCTTGTATCAGCATCACAGTGGCTGCGACTGCCCACAGGCACGAAGGCCATCCGGCACTCTCGTTGTCAAGTTGTTTGGAGAAGTAGCCTACCGGCCTTTTCCAGCTTCCCAAAGGTTGGGTCAGCACTCCCAGTGCTAGGTGTGATCTTTCATGCACAAACAGGTGAATATCTTTGGGTAAATCAGGCAATCCTAATGCCAGAGCTGTTGTCAATGCTTTCTTCAGTTTGAGGAAGGTCTCCTTCTGTGGTTTGCCCCAGGTAAATGGTTGTGTCTTCTGGGCTTCATACAGGGGTTTTGCAATTAGTCCATAATCCATGATCCACAGATGGCACCACCCTGTCATCCCAAGGAAAACTCGCAGCTCATGCAGGTTCTGGGGTTCTGGAATAGCACAAATAGCTTGAATATGATCAGTACCCAGCTTATGTTGCCTTTGTGAGATTTCACATCCCAGGTAAATCACAGTCTGCTGGGGAATTTGTGTCTTTTCCTTAGACACCTTATATCCTCCCATTCCCAGCTGATTTAAAATTTCAATTGTTACCTTTATGCAGGTTGTTTTCTCTTCTGTAGCTGACAGTGTACTGACATACTGTAACAGCAGGTATTGTTCTCTCAGAACTTGCCCATTTTCGATCCAAATCTCCAGCTTCTTAGCCAGCTGGCTTCCAAATAGGGTTGGACTGTTCTTGTATCCTTGTGGGAGGTGTGTCCAGGTGAGCTGAGTTTTCCTTCCATTTTCTGGATTTTCCCATTCAAAGGCAAACAGTTTCCTACTTTCTTTGTCAAGGGGTATGCAGAAAAAGGCATCTTTTAAATCAAATACAGTAAACCATTTATATTTCTCTTTTATCGAGAACAATGTGTAAGGATTATCTTCCACTGGGTAAATATCTTTAGTTATTCTATTTATTGCTCTCAAATCCTGTACTAGTCTGTATCAGTCAACACAGAAATTTGGGCTCTAGTGTTAACTACAGAAGTAATAGGTGCATGTTTAGGACCCACTATTGCTGTAATCAGTATGTCTCCAGTTTTGTTATTTCTAGTGAGCATTTTAAATACAACTAACTTCCACCTCTCTGCTCACCCATGAGAGGCAGAGTTACCAGTTTCCCTGATTCTGAGGCTGTTTGGGATCCACTCCCAGAAGCTGAGAAGGAGACTGCTTTGGCTCGCAGCCCAGAGCCTGTGGAGGTGTGCTGGGTTATACAATGGGGCATTCGATACAATGAACTTGGGACAGTGCCAATTAGAGACTACTTTACTCAACGATTAAGTGATAAGCCACCCATTATGTTTTTGGAGACCCCTTTCTTTATCTCTAGTGACCACCAATACTGGCGATTAGAGATTTGTTTTCTCTTTTTTTGGGCTTTCATTAAGAGAACCAATGTATCTAACACCCTTTGCTTTCTCTGATTTTTTTCCTTCTGGGATTTTTTACAGGTCCATAATTTCAGTTTTCACAGGTAACAACATTGGTGATTCATAACCAACAATTAATTTTCTTTTGTGTATCATTTGCAAGCAGGCAGCTTTCTGAATATTTTTCAGTAGATGGTTGGGGGTACAAACTATAACAATAAAGTCCCCCCCTTTCCAAGGAGTTAAGCCCCTCTGCCCAATAATCTGTGTGCTGAGTTAGGGACCATGGAGTTAAGCCCCTCTGCCCAATAATCTGTGTGCTGAGTTAGGGACCATGGGTTACGTCTGTCTCCTGTTGTTAAGAAGACCTCATGTCCCAGTGCCCACTAGATTCCCGTTCTCTCAATCGAATTTGATCACCTCCAGTTAGAGACACTCAGAATACATATTCTGTCTCTGACTCGTGAGGGAGACGCCCATACTCCCTCTTTTTTCTTTTTTTTTCTATTTTTTTTCCACTTTTTTCTTTTTTTCCTTTTATTTTTTTCCCTTTTTCTATTTTTAGTGGTTATGTGCGGATCAAGATCCTTATCATTGATATAGTTATATTCTGTTTTAATTAAAGGTTTCAAACTAGGACAGCAGTGTTCCCCACAATTTTATCCCAGTTAGATCTTTTTGAGGGTAAATTTGATTAATGAGAGGGGTTTCCCTCTCTTGTTTCCTTTAGCAAGTCAGCATTTTTTGAATTTTTATCATGGAGGGCTACTCACAACAGATTGATCTTACTCCTTTCTTCATCCAATTGTTTTTGCAAAATTTTAACTAGGTTTTGGAGGGAGTCTATTGTAGTTTTTTCCTTACTTCTTTACTTACAGTGAGTTTCTATAGCTGCTGTAAGACAAGTTCCCAAAACTGAGCAGAGTATAGTTTTATTTTTGCCCAGTTTAAATTTTGTTTCATGTTGTAAAGAACATACTCTATCAATCACATTTGCCAAATTAAACCAATTATTGAGCACCAACTTTTCCCTCCTGGAGAAGGTCTGGCATTGTGTTTTGCTAACAGAGCATAACATGCGTAAAATGCAGCTTTAACTTCTGCACTGCTGTTTTCAGTCATTTTTACAAAGGAAAAACCACTACAGGGAGGTATCAACTTAAATTATACACATACACACACACACAACTTTTTGCTTCCCTGTATGGGTACAAAGAACAAATCTGCTTGGGAGGCACTCCTTCAGTTTAAAATTCTGGTTGTCTCTTTGCTACACCAAGCTGTCAAAATTCATACACACAACAACAACAAAAACAGTCCCGCCCTTTTGCACTAAGAGATCTTTTGCGAAATTCTGCAGACAGAGCCCTCAAGTGAGTGTGGGGTGCTTTTCACCTCAGTGTGTGCAGTTTGTGGGAAATTCAAGTTGCCCCCCTTGCTTTCCAGACACCGCTGACTCTTTGGGAGTGTCAGGCTGGGTGCAACTGGAGCAAAACGTCCTTCCCCTAATACAGACTGCACAACAAACCTGCAACCCCTTCTGTCTTTCAGAAATCCTGTCCGTGACTCCAGTTTAAATGCCACGATTCGCTAACGCGAGTGGGACTCGTGAGAGGTTCGTTTGATCTCAGAGTGCAAGACGGACACAAGGGATTTCAGTTTAAATCACAACAACAATAATGCACCTTTATTTTAGTGACAACAACAAGGGTTATGCAATAGAAGAGAGAGAGAGAGATGAGGAAAACAAAGTAAAGAAAGAGAGAAGAGGTTATAGCTACCAACAGATGAGATGGGGTTGCTGGGGTCTTTTTCTGTGGGAGATCTGGCCGAAATTATCTTAGTCTTATGTAATTCTTCCCCAAAGTCATCTTGTTTCCAATGTGCTAATAAGCACCCAAAGGAGAAGTACCTGGTATGGGAGCATAGCAGCCCAAAACCCTTCTCCATGTTGCAACTACAATGCACCAAATGCCGAACCTGCGACGCTTTCGCAGTCGTCTTATGGACGGCGCCTAGGCAATACCAACGGGAATTCCTTTAGCCCAACCACGTGCAGCTTTCACTGTGTCTAACTGGCAGGCACCCAAACCAAAATAAAGCAACTTACCTTTCTCTCCTAAGGATGTTGTGAGCAGCAGAGACAGTCGCAGCTGATGGGTTCCCTGAGAATCCCTCGGTGCCGGCTGGAGCGTGATTGGTCACGAGTTCGCTCAGCAGCACTCACAAGGTCCCATCTGGGGTCGCCAAAATGTTAGTGTTCAGGAACACACATCATCACAGAATGATTAAATGAAGGTGCTTTATTGAAGAGCTCTGGGTGTCAGGGGTACACATACCCAAATCTGACCAGATTTGGTTTTGAGTTGAATGTGTTTTATACTCTATCGTTATATAACTTTCATATTAATTATTAAACTTACATTGTTCTATTGTAAGCATTGTTTTTACCCAAGCATAAACTTCTCGTGATTCCCCCCAGCCCCCTAACATTGTTCCTTATGTTCTTTAAACTATAATTATATCTAATCACATCTAACAATTGTATCATTTATCATCTACTGACTACACAGGTACAGTTTGACCTGATCTTTAGCAAGCACAAGGCCTAACATTTCTCAGGGCCTACTTTTCCCAGGGCTTTCCAAACCTAACTTTCTTTCTAAGTCTCTGAATTTTCTAATATTTTAGAACCTTTTACTATCATCCACACTGCAGCCTTGAGCTCCTGGTTCCTCAGACTGTAGATGAGGGGGTTCAGGCCTGGAGGCACCATCAAGTACAGAACGGGCACTGCCAGATCCAGGGATGGGGAGGAGATAGAGGGGGGCTTCAGGTAGGCAAATGCTGCAGTGCTGAGGAACAGGGAGAGCACGGCCAGGTGAGGGAGGCAGGTAGAAAAGGCTTTGTGCCGTCCCTGCTCAGAGGAGATCCTCAGCACAGCCCTGAAGATCTGCACATAGGAGAAAATGAACACAAAACAACCTAAAGTTAAACACACACCAACAGCAAGAAGGAAAATTTCCCTGAGATAGGATTTGGAGCAGGAGAGCTTGGGAATCTGGGGCACCTCACAGAAGAATTGGCCCAGGGCATTGCCCTGGCACAGGGGCAGGGAAAATGTATTGGCCGTATGCAGCAGTGAATAGAGAAAGCCACTGGCCCAGGCAGCTGCTGCCATGTGGGCACAAGCTCTGCTGCCCAGGAGGGTCTTGTAGTGCAGGGGTTTGCAGATGGACATGTAGCAGTCATAGGACATGATGGTCAGGGCACAGTGGTGCAGATGCAGCCCAGGTCGCTGAGGGACAGGTTGAGCAGGAAGAAGAACATGGGGCTGTGCAGGTGGTGGCTGCAGGCTACGGCGCTGATGATGAGGCCGTTGCCCAGGAGGGCAGCCAGGGAGATGCCCAGGAAGAGGCAGAAGTGCAGGAGCTGCAGCTGCCGCGTGTCTACCAATGCCAGCAGGAGGAAGTGGCTGATGGAGCTGCTGTTGGACATTTGCTGTGGCTGGACATTGGGTACTGCCTAGAGAAAAGGACAGTGAAGAGTTAGGGTTGATCTGTAATAAAAATCAAAGCCATTTCCCATTCTCCCTCTTCGGTAACATACATGGACATACTTTTGTGTTTAAGAGTCCTGAGGTTTTCTTTATAAGCTCCTGTATATCTCTCCTGGTATTCTTGGATACCAAACCCTCTGCATTTCTGCATCTGCCACGAAGAACCGAGCAAGTTCTGTGAGGCAAAGTAATGAGTGCAGAGTGAAGGGAGATGATCTATGGTTTGACCTGTTCAGAGTTTTTCGGGGCTTTAACCTTCCTCCAGTGGAGTATGATCACCTTCCCATGTTTCCCTATTAAGACAGCTAGATATTGCAGAAAGCAGATGGACCCAGCATAGCCCAGCTCCACATTTGTATCCGAGGACTCATGTTGCTCATTTCACCAACCCAGCAGCATTTTCATTGTCAGAACACCTCTGCCTTTCCCCACGAGTCTTTCAGATAACACAAAGATGCTCTAGGACAGGTTTGCATCCTGGATTGGAGCTCCCAGCTGTGACTGAAATCTCAGGGAGACTTCCAAGTGTCCTTATGATGGCATTGGATGAAGGGAGATCCAGCTCCTTCCCTGGCTGCACTGCCAGCCTTGCCCACAGCCGGGCACTGGGGACAGCGTCACCCTGAGCCAG